TGTATGCATGATGTTTATTCTTTTTTCGTTGTTTCTTCTCATCTGATGTATTTCCATTTTTTTGTCCTTACTTCGTATTTCATGTTGTACTGTGTCTCTATCTTATTGCTCCTTCTTCCCGTACTTATTATTCTTTCCTTTTCTTGTTTCTTGTGGACCAGTATATAACTGTATGTTTTGTATGAGAATGATGCGATTCTTGAGAAAAAGAAGTATAATAAAACGTAGTTCCATCAGTGCTAACGCATTTTCTAGCAAAAATTGTCACATGGAAGCCCAACAGACTCTTTGAAAAACTGTAGTTCTCTAGAGATAGTCTGAAAAAATTCGAAAATCTGGTTTACATTCCTTTTTCTTGAACATGTCACCTTATTGTGGACGATCTATCTCTGGTTAGAAATTCGGTCGATATGAGTACATCTCCAGCGAAATTCAGAAATGACCGAAAAAGAGGAGCTATCCTAAACTGAAATCTATAACAGAGAGAAGCATACCTTTAATATATCCGCAAGTTGTTCAGTCTTGTTTGCTTCTGGCAATGTCACTCCAAACTTCACTTCACTCTTCTTCTTCTCTTTTTCCATTTTACTGATTGAAAACACTCGAATATTGTTTGTATCACATGATAAAACGGTTGCAATCGCTTGACTAAAATCCATGACGAATGTCTCTACTTTCTTTGTCGATTGTTGAAACTCACTGTTAAAATCGAAATCCATGATGAAGCAAAAATTCGCTGTTTGCACCGCATCAGTCGCCAAGAGATGAATACTTCCTAAATCGGCTATACCACAGGCAGCACGATAGATACTATTGTCGAATCGATGATCTTCATCGGTGAATATCAATTCACAGCCATGTTTTTCAGCAAAACTATTCAAACCGAGAACAGTTGTTTCTGTTTGATCTTCACCAATGCAAAGAGGTTGGGCGTTGAAATCGGTCGATTTTCCTATCATTCGTCGATATTGAGCGACAGTTTTGTACGGACGACGATCAGTGACGCCCGCTGGATAGACAATATCATTATCTTTGTCTTTCATATCATCATCAGCAGATTCATCGGATTCGGTTGGTTTGATTTTCATGTCAATGATAGCTTGATTTTTTTCGAAAACAACGGCGGCTACTTCAAGTACAGGAATAGGTGATGATGGTCGATTAACAAGTGGGTCGGTTTTAAGCATAGGCTTTGGTTCGACGTTTCTTTGCTTTGGACGGTCATTCGTGGATGGCTGAAGTCTTAGTTGTAATTGCATGTCAATTTTGGGAAAATCTGGTATTTCTGGCATCGGTCTCGAGATAACACCATTGGAATAAACTCTTATCATTTCATCATGTTGCAGCAAATATAATCTGCTCATTCGTAAGCGTATGGTTTCCATTTTTCTGCTATCATTTTGATTAATCATATATCCTCTCTCTTGCTCTTTCTGAATCATAAAAAGAACACCTTGACGACATTGAGAGATATCCCGATTGCATTGGTAAATTCGTTGTAAGTAGCCTGCAGATTTTGAACGCTTTGGACTCTGCATCGATGATTCTGAAAGAAATCAAATATCAATATGAGAATAATAATAATTCTCCAGAGGTATATTTCTTCTTTTCCCCAATATGGTATATGACGTCAATATTTTTTTTAACGAAGTTTTCTAATAAGTCACGACGTCTGAAACTAGTGATGGTGAAAAACGAATTGTTTGATTCTCTCCGAACTATGTAGAAAGATGCACATTTTCACGGAAAGCGAGTGAGAAAAAAAAATGGTTGCATATATAATGTGCAGTCATTATTGATGTAAAAATTCCAAGTATGATTGTTTACCTAGCCAGACGAACGGGATGTGAGCATGAATTCATAGGTTCTCTGCAGCGGAGAGAAAGCATGTTTTTCATCATAAATGAGGAGCGAGTGTGTGCATCAATCGATAAAACAGGCTATTGTATTTGTTGCACAGAAGAAAAATGAATCTGCTGCTTTCGCCAATCGATTCTATAGTCGATTTCGACAGAATTGAAATGAATGTTCTGTTGGTCAATAATAAATGCAGAGTTCGATTCGCCCACCGGTTTCATTTAATGTGGCAAATCAACATGTATTAAAAAACAATTTTTTCATTCTATTTTGACGTATTTTATATATATATGTCTTTTTTTTAATTTAATTAAATTAATTTTTTTTTTTTTGTATTTTTAATAATTATTTTGTTTGAATTTGTACAGGTAAGTATTTACAATAGTAAACAAAGAAATTACAAGGAAAACGTTGAGAATAAGTTAAATACAGAGAGAGATAGAGAGAGATAGAGAGAGATAGAGAGAGATAGAGAGAGATAGAGAGAGATAGAGAGAGATAGAGAGAGATAGAGAGAGATAGAGAGAGATAGAGAGAGATAGAGAGAGATAGAGAGAGATAGAGAGAGATAGAGAGAGATAGAGAGAGATAGAGAGAGATAGAGAGAGATAGAGAGAGATAGAGAGAGATAGAGAGAG